GTGTTGTTATTTCCGTGATGTCGTTATGTATGTGTGTGTGTGTTGTTATTTCCGTGATGTCGTTATGTGTGTGTGTGTTGTTATTTCCGTGATGTCGTTATGTATGTGTATGTGTGTTGTTATTTCCGTGATGTCGTTATGGTGTGTGTGTTGTTATTTCCGTGATGTCGTTATGTGTGTGTGTTTTTATTTCCGTGATGTCGTTATGTGTGTGTGTTGTTATTTCCGTGATGTCGTTATGTATGTGTGTGTGTGTTGTTATTTCCGTGATGTCGTTATGTGTGTGTGTGTTGTTATTTCCGTGATGTCGTTATGTATGTGTATGTGTGTTGTTATTTCCGTGATGTCGTTATGGTGTGTGTGTTGTTATTTCCGTGATGTCGTTATGTGTGTGTGTTTTTATTTCCGTGATGTCGTTATGTGTGTGTGTTGTTATTTCCGTGATGTCGTTATGTATGTGTGTGTGTGTTGTTGTTATTTCCGTGATGTTATGTATGTGTGTTTTTATTTCCGTGATGTCGTTATGTATGTGTGTTGTTATTTCCGTGATGTCGTTATGTATATGTGTTGTTATTTCCGTGATGTCGTTATGTGTGTGTTGCTCGCTGCATTTACTTCTGTTCTGTGATCTGGTCTTGGAATGCACTCCCTTCCCTTCAACCGTCTCAGTCTCTTCTAACATGTTCTAGAAACCTTAATTTTAACAGCAGCAATTCATGACTTCACCCACATCACCATGATCAACAACAGCAGTAACAACAACAACTAGAACAATAATAGGCCTACAAACCCCCCCCCCAAAAAAAAAAACAAAAAAAAACAACTGACAACAAAACGACAACAAAAACACAGCCTTCATACAACCGCCCTCAATAACCGAAGTTTATTATTTAAGATCGTCTAAGCGGCTGCTTGTATAAGATATGAAATTATTACCTCTCCTACTTTAATTGCTCCAAATTAATTCAACACCAGTTGCGTATATTATTATTATACCGAAGCCGAAGGCATCATGTTTATTGACAATAGCACCGATCGATGACAATGTCTTCCAGTCCTTTTTTCCGGCTAACATTTTCATTTGAACACTTTGGTGATTTTGAATGTTCCGGGAAAATATAAAGCAGCTATTTATTTCTTAATGTTTACAGAGAAAAGGAGCACTACTCAAAGTTGCTTCATTATTGTGTACACGTTGTTATAGAAACTGACGCTGTCGTTAGGGCCCATAAAAGGGACCTCCAAGTTTGAATAGAATTTCGTTAAAAAGTAAGAGCGAGCACTGATCTTTTATCCGAAACACGAAACATTTCACTTCCGCTTTGCTTTCAAGTGGAAGGAACAATGCCAAGTTTCCGCATGAAAGTGAAAGAGACTGCTAAGACCTTGAGGAAAAGTTTTTGTTGAAAACTTCTATTTCACCCTCTAGCGTAATAGAATCTAGATCTAGATCTAGATCTAGATCTAGTATTGAAGAACTTTTTAAAATTCCAATAAGATAGACTTTTGCGATGGATGCAGACGATAATCCATCCCGAACAACAACATCCCCGCCTGTTCGTGATTGTGTGGAGGACGATGCTTCGAAAGTTCAAATTCAAAGTGATAGATATTCTAGATCTGAATCTAGATCTCTACTTGGTGACGATGGTAGTTTGAGGGGTGCCAGACGAAGTCTAGATGAGTTTTTCGATCTGCCAACCTCTTTCCACATAGAAACCCGGGACCTGATGGCTGATATTTCCTCTGCGTCAAAATCTAACAATGATTACGCAACGTTACTGGTCAGAGGAATGTGTGTTCTGTTGTGTTGTGATTCCTTGTAGATCTAGATCTAGATCTAGATTCTAGAATTTAGATCTAGATCTAGTACAGGTTAAACTTTACACAGAGAAGAGATGCAGCTCTCTGTCCTATAGTTATAGAATCTAGAAATCTAATTAAATCTAGATCTAGATCTAGATCTCTAGAATCTAGATATCTAGATCTAGAATCTAGCTCTAGATCTAGAATCTAGATCTAGATCTAGATCTAGAATCTAGCTCTAGAAATTGAATTCGATTAAAAAAAGTTTATGCTTCTTCCCAGTCCTCGCAAATTGAAAGATGACGCGTAAATCTCGCAAATAACCAAAAAAATCTCGAGATCGGAAACCGTTCGGAGAAATAGAGCTCAAGTTTATTTTCCCGAGCGTTTGGAGACATAGATTTTCTAGTCACTTCGATGATATAAACAGTTTTTATTTTGTGCACACACTTCTGGCTGTATTGCTTTTCTTTAACCGAGTATCTCGTGTGATCATGATTGATTTTAGACCCGTGGTATGGGTTTTATTTGTACACACACTCTGTATCGCTTTAACTGTCTCGTGTGATCATGATTGATTTTAGACCCGTGGTATGGGTTTTATTTGTACACACACTCTGTATCGCTTTAACTGTCTCGTGTGATCACTCTCTATCGCTTTTTAAACTGTCTCGTGTGATCATGATTGATTGCAGACCCATGGTATGGGTTTTATTTGTACACACACTCTGTATCGCTTTAACTGAGTGTCTCGTGTGATCACTCTGTATCGCTTTAACTGTCTCGTGTGATCACTCTGTATCGCTTTAACTGTCTCGTGTGATCATGATTGATTGTAGACCCATGGTATGGGTTTTAATCATTGTTTTACTGTACTAGATTCTAGCCTAATAGCCAAACATGACATGTCTCTACTGGAAGACTTAGACATGATAATGGCTACTCCCTTCCTCACCACCATTCTTCTTTTGCTAAACATTGTAAAAAAACCACTGGACAATCCAATTTCCCTCTTGATTGCTGTGTACACAACTTTCTTGGGGAAAAGAAAGTGGAGGATGTGAATCTGTTTCAAAACTAAATATAGATCTAGATCTATATTTATAGTTCAGTATCCAAGTGTGACAAAAAGGGTTTGTCTAAAGCGTGTTGTATAGCACTTGACAACAGCTTGGAAAATTATGAGAAAACAATTTGTGTATTATCTAGGCATTAACAGAAGAACATATTATATGTACATGTATAGCTCAATGAATCATGTTGTCAGTATGTGGTGTTGGTTTGATGTTTTCCAAGTTGCAGAAATATTGTCAAGTTTTAATTCTGTGAAAAAGTAATGTGCTCCATGATAGCCTTTTAAAATTTTAACTATGTCAATCAATACTTTTCAAAGTCCTTTTTGCTGACCTTTTACAACACATGACTTTGAGCGTCAAAATCTGACGTCAAATTTGTGCTGTCTTAAATCTCTAAGTTAAATAAGAAAATAAAAATATATTTTGGTTGGACCTGAAAATGTTAAACACTTTGCAGTCACTCAACGAGCAGTACAAAATAGCCCATCTGGTCACCCAGCCAGGAGAGTGACTGCAACAGGTCTGGCGCAGAACTGCGCCCGGTGACCGGAATGGATAATTCTCACCTGCGCATTATTGCGCTAAGTGACCGTAACATTTATGTTGTTTGAATGCAGGCTTTGTGTGCTTTTTGAAAGAAATCTGTAAGAAGCAGGCTCAGATTGCTAATGTATTGCCAATCTTCATTCTTTGTTGTTTGAAAGCTGAAAGCCTATTTACTTTTTTTTTAAATGTGGAAAACTTTTACTTTCCATGAGACCCAAGGAGAAAATTGATTGCACATCGGCGATCTTTTTGTGTTTTCAAATCAGATTAATGGGTAGTTCTTTAGCTCTTCTTTTGTTTATAATATATATTATTTGAATCTTTCCTTTTTCCTGTACAGAGATTGGAAGACTCGATCTTGAAAGATTCGGAAGATTACACGATCCGAGGCACTGACGGCAATCCGGCGAAGATCCCAGCGAGGATACGGGAGATCATCACCAAGAATTTGTCCACGGAGGAGCTGACGTTGCCGGGCATGACGACCCAGCCCAGCGTGACCACGCTGCAGGAGGAGAACCGCCTGCTCTCGCAAGAACTCAACCGAGTGGAGGACCTCCTGTCTGCCTCGCGCGCCGACCGAGACGAGCTTGGGATCAAGTATAATGCTCTGAGTGAGCGGGTAAGTCTGTCCCATTCACTATATGTCAGAGGGCAAGGGTAGCATGCTGTCTTCCCTAACACTCTACTGTAGGGGTCTGTTTGTAAAGTAAAGTGATGTATGGCGGGGCGGTACTCTATGCAGACCAGCTCATCCAGTCTTCTCTATCTTTCTTCTCTGTTCAGAATGTGAACAGTTCTTCAGTATATCGTGTTCTACGACCTACTTGTTGCTGCCAGAGACTTAGCAGTGCTTCTTCCTGTATGGCTCAGCCACATTTGGCTTATGAGAAAAATGGATGGGCTGCCCTAACACAAAACTGGCTTTAACCAGGGGTCACAAATGATTGTCCTTGGGGCCTCAAAATCATTGCTCTAACGACAAATCCGAAACACTAGGAAAAACCCGGGACGGAGAAGGTCTTTTGTCAGACTAGATACATTTCTCTGGAAAATCTCTGGCTGCAAAAAGTACTTCCAAGATAAGACTTGGTGCTTTGCGCAGGAAAACTCTATGGTAAAAGTAACAGTAACTTTTAATTTAGATTTGGTGATCTGTTTTACTTTTCCTCCTATGCTATGTAAAAGATTTGCTATTTTGGAGGCACAAGATATTGCCAGAGTTGTGAAAAAATCACTAACTGCTGGAAGTGTAGCAAAATGCTGTAGTAAAGATTGAAGAAAGAGGAAGAAGAAAAAGAATAGAAATCTTCAGGGATGTTCCATATTTGAATGGCTTTGTATCTTTGTGTGTCAGAGGCCTGCATGCTCAACTTGTGCCTTTTACGACTCACTTTTGTTGTGTTCTCTCTTGTCACTTTTGTTGTGTTCTCTCTTGTCACTTTTGTTGTGTTCTCTCTTGTCACTTTTGTTGTGTTCTCTCTCTTGTCACTTTTGTTCTGTTCTCTCTTGTCACTTTTGTTGTGTTCTAGTATGATGTTGATGGTTGTTTATCAGCTTACTGTTTTCTGTGTTGAGATATTTATGTAGAAGTTTTTGTTGTTGTCCTGTTGTGCCGATGAGCCTGAGGCCTTAACGAGAACACGATGAATGCTATTTTATAAAGAGGAACAGAGATATTTTAGAAAAGAGGTGGAGATGTATCCATGTTTGACATCAGCACATACTGGTCGGAAACAATGAAGTTTGGCTCTGAATCTGTGTCATGAACATACATAGAGTAGACATGTTGCCATTTATTGCCACGAACAGACATCGACATGTTGCCATCTATTGCCACGAACATCGACATGTTGCCATCTATTGCCCCATCTTTTCAAGGTGTTATTGGCTTTTTCTTTGTCTATGGGACACAATATGTCTCTCATGATATACTCCAGTTCCTGGCTACTTTTTCATACCTCTATGACAGATTTTCAGGT